GAGCCCCAGAAGAGGCTGAGGGAGCTGGGAAAGGGGCTCAGCCTGGAGAAAAGGGGGATCAGGGGGGATTTGGGAATGTTTGGATTGTTGGGAATGTTGGGATTTGTTTCCCAGGGAACAGGGACAGGAGGAGAGGGAATGGCCTCAGGCTGTACCATGACAAGTTTAGATTCGATATTTGGGAAAATTCCTTCCTGGAAAGGGTTGTAAAGCATTGGAAGGGGCTGTTTAGGGCAGGGGTGGAGTCCCCATCTCTGAAATTGTTCTGAAAATCTCTGAATGTGGCATTTGAGGATGTGGTTTAAAGGGAGCATGGCGGTGCTGTCTGTCTATGGTTGGATTTGGTGATTGTTAATTTTTTTCCCACATTACTGAGTCACAATACCACATTTTCCTGTTGGTGCCCTTCCCAGAGGAAAGCAGAGATCCCTTAAATTGTCCTGCAGGTGAAACCCCTGGGTCACCTCGTGCTCTGAGCTCGCTGCGTTCCACTGCTCCAATTCAATATTTACAAGGTACCTGCAAAGAAAATAAGAGCAGAAATGTGATCCTTGCAGGGAAGGCACCCAGGGACTAACAGGGATTTTCTCTCCATGTAAAACATTTCYTCCTGCTGTTTGGCTGGAAAATTCCGTGGATTTGCTGCAGCACAATCACTCTGCAGGCGCAGCAGATGCTCAGAGCTACCTCTGGTGAGCACCTGATGATGTTCTCATATTCATTTTGTAATAAGTCYACAGCTGGTACTTGTTTTTGTTTTATTTAAAGAATGATGAAAACAGCTGACGGATCTGAGGATTTGTTTTTTTGGTTTTTTTTTTTGGATTTAAAAAATGTTTAAAAAATTATGAAAAATGAAGCTTCAAGTAAATAAGCATTTATTTTGTCCTCATTCTTGAAGATAATTGCCTCAGATATTCAGAATGTGGAGTTTTAACCTTGCTACTTATATKTAATGTGTGCTACTTATATTTATTTTACTTTTAGATGTGGATTTGCACGTTATTTATGGATTTTCATGGATTATTTAAAGTTAGCTCAAAAAAAAAAAAAAAAGAAGGAACCAGACTGTTTTTATCCATCCTGCACAGGTGAACAGGGGCTGAAGTACATTTGAGTGACTACAGGGCATAAATATCCATAAAAACAAATCTTTCCCATCTCTGGACTTTTCACAGAGTCTCCATAATATGAAAACAATATTCTTCAAAGAATTACTATTGCAATATGTTATATTTTATGTAATATGCAATATATATATATATATATATATATATATATATAATGCTAAAAGAAGTGAGGGAAAGAGGGAAGAAAACTGAAAAGTGGGGGTATTTTTTTATCAAACCAAATATTTCCCTTTGACATAATCAGTTCTGCAGGACATGGAAATGTGTGTCTGCATAACAAACCCATCCTCTATAGGCTGATGCTGAAGATGAGTAGAAAGCCACATTTCCAGCAGATGAAAATATTTCCTGTCTTAGGTGTTGTTCCTACACCAGAAAAACAACAAAAAGAACGTTCTGATTCCTTCCCCAGGATGGAACTTAGAATGTTGGGAATACATAACCTAAAATTTGATGTTTTCACTGTATTGTCATTATTTTAAAAACTTCTTTTTGTTTTGCTCCCCTTTTATTTAAGGAAAAAAAACCAAAATTCATTTTGACCCATATATGTGCTTGTATTCTCATAAATCAGCTTTATGAGGTGATGGGAAGTGAATTCCCTGTCTGACATCCAGAGGTAATAAATACCAAAAATTTCACAGGAATTAGCTCGCAGGAGGTAGAGAACTCCAGCTTTTGTTATTCCCTTGCGAGGAAATATTGAATAAAAGGAAAATATGAATTACCTCTCCAGAGCTCTAATGGAAGACTCAATGAGAAGWGCATTAAAATGCATTATGAGAGGCGAAAAGCCTGACCCACAATTATTCTCACGAGATATTAATGAATGGTTCTGTTTTCTAGGTGCTGAGTATTTAAATCTTTGAATATCTGGAGTTGGAAGRGACTCAAGCTGGAGCAGAAGTGGGGCAGAATGACCTCCCTTGCCCTGCTGGGTTTGATCTGTGAGTGWATTTTTATACATATTCCAAATAATTCTAAATTATTTGCAAATTAATTTTATTAATAGAGCCATCAAAGCAAAAGCAGAGGCGCTGAGAGTTGGATTTTCTCATTAGAGCTGTGCAAATGTTTGTTTTCTCTCACAGACAACATCCAGGGCTRTAAATTATTCCAGTTTGTACTTTGGTTTATTTTGGGGTTAATTAGTTCTCCGTGGTCAGAGGATCCAGAAAAGGAGTTTATGCTTGGGGAGAATTGTGGTATCCAGCTGGAATTGGTGTAATTTTGAAATTGAGTATTTAGCTTTTCCTGTCATTAGTTCAGTGTCAAAATGCAGTTTCATTCCCTGACATTTCCCCTTTCCYGGGTGTTTTCTCCACTCTGAGACCACTCAGAACGTGGGGAATTCATGACTGATTTCATTATCAGCTTTTGATTTATTTCTCTGTGTCACCAGGTSAGAGAATATTCACTTTCCATCTGGGACACGACAGTGAAAGAAGAGGGGTGGGATGTGAGATGAAAGGACATTTCCAAAGAAAAAGGGAAAAAACACCTTTGGATGTGCCCCAAGCYTGCAAGTGCCACTAAATTGCTTAGATCTGGGTAATTTGAAATTATTTGGGGACAGTTTGAAATTATTTGGGATTGATAAGAGTTTGCACTCTGAATGCAGAAATTCACTTCTCTCTTTGGAATTCATTTAGAAACAAATATTAACAAGGAAGATTTTTACCTGCATCGCTCTGAAGCAACAAATCATTGCATGGAAGCACTTGAAACGAGGTAATTAATAGTTTAGAACTGAGTTATATACTGCTGATATTAAAAATAATAATAATTTTTAAAGATTTTTAGCATGTTTATGTTGTATTTATGCTGCGTTTTCTTTAWTTAATATTGTTTGTGTAACCACACATTGCCCCAGTGCTGAATTTTATTTAAAACTCTACAAACATCTTGGTTATTGTATTCCAGATCTCTGTGGTGGTTGCGTTAAAAACCGAAAGAACAAAGCGAAGCCATCCCTGTGAAGAGAAAATAAAAGTTATTTCAGCAAAGGGAGGATTTGATTTTGATTTCTGAGGTGCTGTTACGCAAGAGGAGAAGTGGGACGAGGATAACAGGGAGGGGGTCGGCATCCAGAGTTCAAAGGTAGGCAGCTGATCAAAGGTTAAACACAAGAAAAGAAATGATCCCATTCAAGTTAAATATAGGACTTCGTAACCTAAATAGGGGCTGAGCTGCAATTAAAACCCTTGGAAAAGGCTTTTGTGCTCCGGGGAAGTTCTCAAAGTCAGGCAAACTTTGTTTTTGTTGCTTGGAAAGATCTGTGGGARGGGATGAGGCTCTCCAAAGGATGGGAAATCTCAGTTTGCACTCTGAAATGGTTCTGGTTATGAAGGGCAGAAGGTAGAATGGATAAGATCCATTTAGGATTGTGACTTGCAGATATTTCATGGAAATATTTCCTGTTTTAATGYAGAGATGGAATAGCTGAGCCTGGAAAGATCCACAAAAATGTTGAATATTTTCTTTTTCACAGAAGATGCTCCCAGCTCTTTCCACGCTGGCAGAGAAAAGCACGGATCTGGAGGGCCTCCTCTGGCTCARATCCTTTGCTTTCCTCCATCCCTGTGGTCCTTTCAAGACTCAGTTCATGGCAAAGAATGTTTTTAACGGATAATTTTTGGCCGTCCTGCTCAAATGTCACTTTTATTTGCCTTTCCTGCACTGGGTACTTGATGTAAATTTTATCCATTTTTAAAAAGAGCTGGAATATTTCAGTATCAGCTGCTTTCTGGCCTGACCCCAAATGTAGGGTTTATATCAGGGGGAGGAAATGGGGCTCAGAATCTGCCTGAAAGGTCTCCTGAGATTACTAAAAGGGACCCTCTGGTCAGGGAGCATTTCTGAATCGCTTATTCCATAATTATTATAATGTGCATAAAGCCTCATATGCATTAAACATTCAACTGAAATGACTCTGAGTGTGAGAGCAGCCATACAATAAGGGGAAAAMCCCCTCATTTTGCATAATAAAATTTAAAATTTTAATACTGTAAGTAATACAYGCAGTRTGTAAGTGTGCACAYTTAACCATGCACTTATGAATTATAGATATATATACAGCACATTCCAAATGGGTATTTAAACACTTCAGCTTCCCACATTAGGTAATTTGGAGTGCATTGCATTGGATTAACTTTTAGCATTTCAGTTGCAAGTARTCATAATTCCAAAATTCACATTGCAATGTGTTCATATTGGGGATTAAAAACATAAAACMAACATTTCCCTCAAGGAAATAAACWCACAGAGACCAACACTCATTAATTAACCTTGAAACTTTAGGTTTTATTTTACAACTTCAGGTTAAAACACAGGAAACACAAAYATCTGGCTGAAGTCATACAAAACCCTCCAACTTCACATTACTTTTGCAAGTATCTTGGTATTTTACAGATCAGCAACTTGAAACATTGTTTCATGTGAAATCAGTAATTTAAAAATATTTACTCTGACTTTACCTGGCCTTAAATTCTTGTCCCTATTAGTGACTTGTAGGGGTGTAATTAAAATAAGGATGGAAGTTAAATACAGGCAAAATTATGGCTCCAGTTCCATTCAGGTAACATCAACTGCATCCTTTTTTATAGAATTTATCAGATGTGAAGTCAGACAAGTATTCTGCTCTGAGAAAACAGAGTTTTCCCTTCAGTTCTCAGCTTTGGAAGGGGAAATGATCCCAAAGTGCGACTGCTGGCATGTGATTGCTTCATGCACAAAACACCCAGAACTGACTGCACCAGTGTGGTTTTAAGGTAAAAAATATTCCAAGTTGACAAAAAGGCACTTTGAAAATGGAAAAATTGTTTTCAAAATAGGAGAAAATGCCGTGGTTCATCGATGTTCTCTCAGGTTTCAGCTCCACCTCAGGCTGTAGCTCTGGCCCAGCTGCAGCTGGAGCCCGGAGATTTTCAGGACCTGTGAATAAAACACACAAAATGCACATTTGGTGACTCTGCCCTGAAGATCCGTGGGGTTTTCTGTGCTCCAGGGAAGTATAGAAATATTTTTAATATAGAAATATTTTAAATATGCTAAGTATAGAAATGCTTTAAATATGATAAGTATATAATTTTAAGTTTGATAAGTATAGAAATATTTTAAATATGGTAAATATAGAAATATTTTAGACATGTTAAGTATAGAAATGTTTTAAATATAAGTAGATAAAACATTTCTATACTTACCAAACTTAAAATTAACTATAGAAACATTTTAAAGATGCTAAATATAGACATTTTAAATGTGCTGAATATAGAAACATTTTAAATATGATAAGTATAGAAATAATTTGAAATATTTTAAACCCAGAAATATTTAAAATATAGAAATATTTAAAATATGCTAAATAGAGAAATATTTTAGATATGATAGATGCAGAAATATTTTAAATGTGCTGAAAATAGAAATATTTTAAATGTGGTATTACACCACAGGTTTCAGAGCACAAAGAGAGGTGTGAACCCTTTTTTTCAGCCTGCAGGCAGTGTCTCACCTTGTTGTCGGGGTTGTAGTTGACGCTGTGGGGTGATGGGATGGTGACCCCGTTCTGTGTCACTGTCACCTKCGTGGCCCCCGTGGGCACCCCCAGCACTTTGATCTCAGTGAACATCAGATTGTTTGGGTCGGTGTAATTCTGGTGCTCAACTCTGATATCCAGAACAGTCTGAAAGGATGAGGGAAAACCAAACATCAGGGTTTGGGATTGGAGTGGTGCAGGTCCAGAGCTGTGGCTGCCCCTGGATCCCTGGGAATGTCCAGGGCCAGGCTGGAAATTGGGGCTGGACCAGCCTGGGACAGTGAGAGCTGTCCCTGCCCATCCCAGAGGGGTGGAATGAGATGATTTTTCATATCCTTCCCAACCCAAACCATTCTATAATTCTATAAAATCCACCTGATCTTCTCATTTGCTTTCCTCACTCCAGGTTTTTTTTTCTATTTTTGTTTTCCAACACCTGTGTGTTTTTATTCACTTTTCAAACACTGAAAGCTTTCCTTCCCATTGTYACCTGGCCAGACCCTGTGCTCTGCTCTTTATTGCCTCTCTGCTGATGGATGGGGGGAGGGAAGCAGAGAATTTCTCCACCCTGAGCATGCAGTGAGAGCTGCAGGACAAACCCCTCCTTTCCTGCCCCTGTCTCACCCTCCTGTTCCCTGGGAGCTGCTCCAGACCCTGCTGCTCCTGCTTTTTGCCCTCCCAGAACAGCTCCTGCCTCCCCATCCCTTCTTTTCCCCCTCTCATCACTGATTTGTAGTAGATCAGGGATTTAGGATATACCCAGATCCCACACAAACGTGCTGTGACACAATTCCACAATTTGGCACTCAGAGGGTGAGGATTTTTCATTGTTGGCTGATTAAAACCTCTTTAATTAGGCTTTTCCTGACTGAGTTTTTGTGAAAGCAGGGAAAGGTGCACTTATTTTACAATCTCCTTACAACTGCAAATATTGAGTGTTAGCAAAACAAACTCTCTTCCTTAGCAATTAACACCCTTTTATTTGACAAAGGCACAACTAAATGAGAAGAAAGAACAGTGTGGCTAAAATTAGAAGACATTGTGGCACTGGAAAATGTATAAATTTATACTGGAAATTAATGAAATAGGAAAGTGTTTTCTCCTGCAATAGAAAGAGCTTTTCTTAGAAATCAAAAGTCTCTATAATTAGAGTCTTAATTTATTTCCAGTTACTCCACTGGTGATGAGAAGTAGTGAAATCTGACAATTGCCCTTAACAATACACTTCAGAATCACTCCTAAATTCATTTTTAACAGAGTTTAATCACATTTCTTGCAGTCTAATCAACTGTGAGCCCAGTTTATGGTAAGGCTGGGATATGGAGACATTAGGAAGACCCAAATTAAAATACCCATAGTAAAAAATATTATAAAAATCACCTAAAGTGGCTCTTAAATAAATATGAGCTGATGTGACTCACCTGATTAGCAGTAAATGATGTGAGCAGGTAAACACCATCTTCATATGCATCTGTAATAAAGGGAGAATAAGAGAAATTAAAAGGAATAAAATGTCTTTGCTATGCACCTTCTTGAACACATTTCAACATTTCAGCTCAATTACTGTGTCCACTGACAACTTCCCARTGTGAGGTTTGTATTTATATGTAAMTAAAGAGAAGTTGTGCATTTCCAGAAGATAAATGCCATCAGACATAAAATATTTCCATTGTGTTTAATGTTTAAAGGAGAATATTTTAGAGGTAAGATATCAAAGCAGACAAAGCAACAGCACTGGGGAGATCAGGGGTGGATCCAGGGCATTGAGGGGTGTGGAGCCTCTCCTGTTACACCCCCAAATCCCTGTGCCCAGCACATTTCCTGCATTCCTCATGAAAATTCGGGTCAGAAATTACCAATATTACAGGGGTAACACTGGGTGGGGAGGACAAATGGCACCCCAGCATCTCCTGAGACAATTCCAACGATTCAGACAAATTCAAATTTAGCAGAACTGAGGAAATGCCTGAAAGCTCTCCCACGATCTCTGCTTATTGTTCCCATAGGTTTGGGGACCAATCTTTGTTACTGGCCCACGGCACAATTTCTTTTTCACAACCTATGAATTCTATAAACCCAACTTTGTGAGCTTTAAATCAGGGAGAATCATGGTCTGTAATGCTCATCTGCAGGTTCCAGTTGAGTTTTGCCCCTGAAAAGGTTCAGATTTATCCCCTGAAATGGGATGGCTTTGGCCTTAGCCCATCCTTTCAGACACTCCACTGATTCTTTCATCTCTCCTAATTCACATCCTTGGGTTTTTTTGTTTTGTTTTACTTGAATTTGGGTTTGAATATCCCTGAGGATGGAGCTTCTCTGGACAGCCTGATGCACAATCCAACCATTCCTACAGCAATAAAAAGGTTCTTAGGGAGGGAAGAAGCCCTGGACGTACCGATGCGAACTCCATCATCCCAGTAGAGGTGTCCTTGWGCAAACAGATCATCATCCAGTGCCACTGTCAGTCCCATTGGGTTTTTCCRGCTGTGCAAAACACAATTTTCCCTCAATTTTCTCAGCTCAGCGCATTCCATATTTCCCAAATGGTATTTTTTTTGCAGAAATGTTGTGTATCCCCCAACTGACCTCCCATAGCCCTTTTCACATGTTATTAAAGGAGAACATGAGGAAAAACACAAGAAAAAGACCCAAACTAAACAAGCAAAAAAGCTCAACAAAACCAACCAACCAAAAAAAAAACCAACTACAAAAAAAACCCAACCAAAAAAAATTCAACAAAAATAAACCAACAGAAACCCATAAACCCAAAAACAAACCACCCCCAAGAAAACTCCAAACCAAACTAAAACCCACAAAAAACAAAAAAAACCCTAAAAACCACAAAAACAATGAACAAAAACCCCCCAAAACCCAAAGAAAACCTAAAAACCCCACAAAAACCAAAAACTCAAACAGAAATAAAACCAACAAAAC